ATATTCTTATCAGTTGCCCAAAATCCATTGGCAAAATGATATTGCAGTCTTTTTATTTACAAATTAGAAGAACAAGGACACCTCTGAGAGTTATTGAGCAAATTGTATAGGATTGATAGCACCTGATACAGACTCTGGTTTGTAGATATAGGAGGACACTGTTAGAAGACATTAGTGAAGCAGCTTCCTAAGATCTCAAAGCATGTTTTGCATGCTGCCATTTTTAGAGTCAAGTCTGAGGTTGGGAATGTGCTCATATTATACACAAAACTGTAGGTGGTTCACATGTGGCAGGTAAACATAAAAGTTTTCTACTGGCTTCCTCTCTGTCTCAGTCTACCTCCAACATCAGCAGGATTTGCTTATAAAAGTACTTATTGTTTAGTCCAAGGTAGGCATTTCTGTCTTCAAGTTGATGGTCTCCTTCCTTAGCCTGGAAATTACCTGCCAGATCTAATGCCAGGATTGGGTTACAGATGTGGACATCTGCATGCCCCTTTTCTAAGAAAAACAACCCAGTGTTCTCTTCTGTCTAGTCTCAGGCTAGACCGCCTGTGCAGTTGGGAGTATTTTCTATTTGTTTTTGTTTTGTTTCACGTACTTCTGTATTTGGGAAAAGTCATGGCCAGAATGTCTAGGAATATTTATATTATAAACATAGGTAGGTTGATAGATTGAAGGATGGGTAAAATATCTGTGTTTTCTATCCCCCAGAAAGTCTGTGTGGCCTTTGCATAAAAGGTTGGTGCAAGTTAAATACAGGCTTTGTATTTGCTTTTGTCAAGGTCAGCATTAGAATGAGTGGTATGGTGAGCCAGAGAACACCACTAGGAAAGGAATGGAGAAGCAGCTTCAGATAGGCTTATAAAAGACATGTGTAATTGTTTCCATAGGAGTTGTTTAAGGAACTCAGGAATGGAGAGCTGAGATTATCTTACTCAGAGAGCATGATAAATAACAGAAATTTAAGTCAAGCCTGGAGGTGCAGGTCTGTGATTCCAGCTGTTTATCAGTCTGGGCAGGAAGGTCACAAGTTCAAGGCTAGCCTGAGTGACTTAGTGAGACCCTGTCCCAAAATAAAAGTAAAAAGAGGGTAGGTGATGTAGCTCAGTAGTAGAGAGCTTACCTAGTGTGTCTGAAGCCCTAGATTCAGTCTCTAGCACCATCAAAATAATAATGATAATAATAGAAGATACATGAAGACAGAACACTCAAAAATAGCAGAAGTTCTTAATTTTTATTTATACATTCCTTAATTATCTGAATGCCTAATTTTATTTAGCTAGCCATCAGAGGACCAGAACGCCTGCTGCTAGATAATGTCTTCTAGACATGACAGGGAAGTTTTACCCATGACACCTCAACAATATGGTCACCTAAACAGGACCTGCATAATGACAACACCAGATGACATACCAATGTGAATGGGAGAAAGCCTAGATGACTTCAACCACAGATGAAGAGCTCCAGCCAGTTAATGACTTCTCAGGGAGAGGGAATCAGGCTTCTCCAGGGACATGCCCCCTGATAGTTTCCAATCCCAGCTGGTCAGTCCTAAACACATATACATAGGAGCAACACTAAATGGAATCAGTTGGGAGGGAGGGTGTGTGTGTCTGTCTGTCTGTCTGTCTGTCTGTCTGTCTGTCTTTGTGTGTGTGTGTGTAACAATAATTATAGAAGAAGAGGTCATGAGTTTAAGAGAGAGCTGAGGTGAACATGGGAAGAGTTGGGGGAGAAGGAAGAGTAGAAATGATGTAAATATAATCCTCATGAAATTCTCAAAAACATAAATAGCTGGCCACACATTAAGTAAATATTTATTTTTCTTTATTTTTGTTTCTCCTCCTATGTACATATACACATATATAGAGAGATACACACAGTGTATTTATTATATTCAGCAGGTGTATATGCAATGCAACAATTCTAGGTGTGCCACTGTACACGCCTTAAAGGGAAGACTGACGAGGTTTGAGCAGTGTTTTCCTAGAGCATTCTAATAACTGATAGATACGTGGCATCCAAACTCTCATGGCGGCTCTCTAAGATAGGTGGGTGATATCTCTATCTATAAGACAGGTGGATGATATCCCCATCTATAAGATAGGTGGGCGAGCTGGGCAGTGGTGGCACACGCCTTTGATCCCAGCACTCGAGAGGCAGAGGCAGGTTTATCTTTGTGAGTTCGAGGCCAGCCTGGTCTATAGAGTGAGATCCAGGAAAGGTGCAAAGCTACACAGAGAAACCCTGTCTCGAAAAACCAAGGAAAAAAAAAAAAAGATAGGTAAGCAATGTCCCCATCTATAAGATAGGTGGGTGATATCCCTCCCCATTTTCCACATGAAGAAATTAGCTTTCAGGTCGAGGTAGTGTAGTGTCTGAGCACTTCCCTAGTGTGTGTGAGGCACCACCAACACTACTAATAAATAGTAACAATAAATAATTGTTAAATTTTAAAAAGAAAGAAATAACTCTCAGAGGAAATCTGATAATTTTGCATAGACAGAGTGATCACCTCACTAATCAGGTTATGTATGCTTCCCAAGAATTTGAGCTGAGAAACAGGAGAAACAGCCAAGACTGTAAATCGGAAGATAAGATGGGCCTAGTGAGCATGCTCAGCAGGGCAGGGCACTCACCTCCAAGCCTGACAACCTAAGGACAAGCCTAAGAGCCCACATGGAAGGAGAGCATTGACTCCCACAAGCTGTTTTCTGACCACAAGCATACTATGCATACACACACACACACACAGACACACACACACACACACACACACACAGAGAGAGAGAGAGAGAGAGAGAGAGAGAGAGAGAGAGAGAGAGAGTAAATAAATGTTTAAAAAAGAGAGAGAGAGAAGTCTGTAATGACACAGGAGAATGAGGAGGTGGGCCTTTAAAAACTGTAAGTAGAAAACCAAACTGTCAGCCAGCTTTCTTTTGCGGTGACAAAATACCTGTGGTAAGTCAGTGTTGGCTCAGGTGTCAGGGATCTCGGCCCGTGATTGGTTGGCTTCATTGCTTTGGGTCTGGAGTGAGGCAGGATGTCATAGTGGAAACATATGGTGGGACAAAGCTGCTTTATTTCATGGTGACCAAAAACAGGTATAGGGAGGCAGACCAGGGTCCACAAATCCCCTTCAAGGGCCACACCCCAGTGACCTGATTTCTTTCTAAGCAGGCCCAGCTCCTGAGTGGTTCCACATCTCCCGGTAGCACCAAAGACTGGGACTAAGCCTTTAGCACGTGGTCTCTGGGAGACATTTAAAGTACAAAAGAAGCCAAGAAACAAACAAATAAATAAATAAATAAATAAATAAATAAATAAATAAATAAATAAATAAATAAAATGTAGACGGAAGAATTAGTGGCCTGGGATTTCAGTTCAGTGGTTTCAGCTTCCAGGAGAGTCGTCCCGCTGCTGTTTGAGGGTGGAAGTGTCACTCCTGGGAGTAAGCGTTTCTAGAGCAGGTCTTAAAATCATAAGGTTCCTAAACTTCATCCAGTGAGCCCAGGATGTCTGTCCTGGGGTCTTCCGAGGTCCTGAAAGCTGCTGCCCCATGGTGTTCCAGCCTACTGCCCGCACAGGCAGTTCTTCTCTGTCTTTCTGGAATAGCTAGAGGGCACAGTGCTCCATCAAACCAAACTCCCTCGGGAGGCCATCTGGGCATGGACTCTTCGGGCTTCTGGCCCCGGAAACTGGGAGCTCGAAGAGAGCGGAGTGAACGGTGGTTGACAACAGACAAGCCAGTATGTGCTCCACCAAGAGTGGGAAGCTGTCTATGTATTTTAAGGACCAAGTGAAGTGGGTGTCACCAATGCTTTCTAAAGGAAACCTTAAATTCGAGGATGGCTTTAAGGAGAACAGCAGCTGGGAAGTCCGTCCAGAGGCCATTTCTCCAGCCTAGGGCACGATAGTGACGGGAAAGAAAAAGACCTACGACGTCACAGTAGATCAAATATGCACGAGTGATGTGTCGGGGGTAACCACACGTTTACTCTGGTGTTGCCCTGCGTAAGGTAGGCAGTGCTGGGAGAGGACTAGTGAGAAGTGACCGTTCCGCTCAGTTTCTAACGAGTGTCAGTATCTAAAAGTAATTGCTGTAATGTAATGTAAGAGTCATGGCAACGTGTCCAGTAAGCAATCAGTGAGGGGGAGCCGACCCTTCGTGACAGTACAGACAACTCCAAGCCCCTTCCCCAGCCCGCTGAGTAAAGGCAACAGTTCTGAAACCTCACAGGCAGAGCCAAGCAAGGAGGAAAAAGCAGGTCCACATAGGCAACGATCATTCATCTGGACACTAATGCTGACAAAGGGGTGGGACGGAGCCCCAGAAAACTTCGAGGCAATAAGGATCGAAGCAAAAGAAAAAAACGGTTCAGTCACCAAAGAAGAAGATCAGAGGCATTATTATGTGACAGAAGTTATAACAATCAAAATTATGAAAGACTTTTGTTTTATGTTGTGTCTGAGAAAGCACAGCCAGGGTGAGAGGGAATAAAAGGAAGGGGAGAAAGAGTGGACGTATTAATATGGATATCATTATGTCGGATATAAATTTTAAAAGGACAGCCCTAAATTATTTGAAGTGAAAGGCAGACTGTGAGGAGAGAGGTTGAAAACGTGAAGAGAATAAGCCCCATAAGTGAGTGGAATCAAAGACAGACTGAATAATGTAAAGTGTGAACTCAAGGGATGAGAAGCAAAGGCCAAGATAAATTACAGGAGGTGAAAGCGGCAGCGGCCGCAGAGGGAAGAGGGACCAGAAACAAACAAACCAAAGTCAGATGCAAACGCCACGTGGAGCAACAGGACCAGGTGAAAAAAATTAAAATGTTTTTAATCCTGTCATAAAAAAAAAAAATCAAAACCCCACAGAACCGTAAGAAAAGAGTTGGGGATCCGACATGAGGCAAGACGCACACAGCGTCATTGTGGAAACCAAATGTGTTTTCTCTTTAGTGGGGTGGCTTTGTGAGTCTGGAACCATTTTGACATGTGGAAATATTCATTTTGATGTGCTTAAAGTGTATTGATTATGGTAATTGTTTTTTCTGTGTTAGTTGCAGTCCATTGTGATTTCCTATGGGCTACTGTAATTGCTTTTTAACCTGCTCTGTTGGCTAATTTGGGCTGGGGGAGCCAAGGTGACCTCTGCATATGGGCCTCACTATAATTACTAGGTAAGAGTAGCAGCGGAGACCAGCCGAAGAGAAATCAACAAAGGCAGGCCATGTGCTTGTGTACCCCAGAGAGGAGCCCATGCTGAGCAGAGGGGACCGAGTAGCCAATGCCACTTATTCCACTCACTCAGCCACTGGCCTTCGGCTCTGGTGCCTTTAGCTCTCCCGGCCCTCTGCAGCTTCCCCCGATCTACTTTTGCTGACCTCAGAAACGGAGGAAGCACTTCCTGATTCACAGCCTCGGCCACGCCTTCACCTTGTCACTCACTTTCTGTTTTTCCTATGGCCGAGTTCTCAGAAGTCCTATAAAATAGATTATATTTGGGAGTCACCTGTCGGTCTCACGTATACTTTGTACCCAAGTCTGGATTGTCACCGGGTCTGTGGCCATCCCTGGGGTTGAGCATTGGGATTTCTGTTTTCTCAATGGGTGAGTTGGCCATTAAAATAAAGATGACCTTATTTGAGAAATCAGTATGACTCCCATAAGGCCATGTACGTCTCTTTCTTGACATTCTGTCCTTCGTCGTATCAAACATTAGCGGGTAGTTATCATATCATTTGCGTCCATATATTGAGCCTTTATTATCAGGAGCTCCGCCTTGGTAACCATAGAAACAGCTGGAAGAGGATAGTTCCATCATTATCTCAGTTTACAGAGGGATGGAAGGCTTGGGAAGAGGGAGAAACTCGAGATGGTAACTCACTGCTTCTTCCAAATTAAAATTCCTTGATCGGAAGCTGTAGCTCTGCTAGCAAACCTAACCCCACAGCCAAGCACTTAGCATTGAAATCACCTGTCTCCACCCACGGGCATGCTTCCCGGATTCCACCCCAGGATTCCATGCTTTGAAGTGCACGTGCAGGAATGAGAGCATCATAAATAGATTTCTCTACGTTCTGAGTGGGGTTTTTTCACATTCTCATTTCTTAATGAATACACATTTTTAGATAAAAGTCAAGTTTCCTTAGTTCTTTTTCGCAAATCATTTTCTTCCCTCTAAAAGCAGCTACAGCGATAAAGGGGGGTTGGGTATGTCTTGGTTTTCCCCTTCTTTCTTATCATCATGATCATCATTGCTATCTGTCTTTCAGTCCTGGAGATTCAGCCATGTTCCTTAAACGTATGAGGCAAGTGCTGAATCACTGAACCACAGCTTCAGCCTTGACCAGGTTGCTCTAATCATTACAGACCTGTGCATCTACGAAAATAGGTTTTTGCATTTGAATATACACTTTCATAGTTTACATAAATGTCAGTGTAGTCCTCACATGCTCTGCAATTTGCTTTCTTTGGGCCACGTCGACTTTAAGACCCATCCATGTTGTACTTTTGAGATTTTCGTTTAAGTTCCCAGGGCCTATTAACTGTCCTCCTGTTACAGTGACTTGAAAATGAAGAAGCATATTGCCGAAAGATCTCAAATCATTTCTTGTTTGATGAGGAGGGAAACCTCTGGCCGGAAGAGCTGTCTGCCATCTCTAATTTGAAGGCTGGGTGGGGGTATCTTTCAAGTGTGAGCCGCAGCTCTGAGGTAAAAAGCATCTGGTCTAGGCTGGAGTAATCTGTGCTGGCTGGGTGAGGGATGAGAAGTGGCTTTTAAATACAATTATGCACAGCGCATGTGCTATTGAAGATGCCACGGCTCCCTCCCGGCAAGATCCCGTCATGCTGGTGTTGATGGCTGCGCTCCTTTGCGATGGGCGAAACAGAACCAGAGTAGACAAACATCTCTTCCGCATTTGTCTGACACACGGATAAAGAAAGACTCAGGTCTCGGTGCTCCCTCTGTAGTTGGTGAACATTTGTTGAACACCAATAGTGAAGTAGACACAGGACATGCAGCTGCTTGCAATACCATTTCCGGCTAAGAAGGAGCCTTGGTGAGTTTTTCTGTCTGTGTTTTATTAAAGGTCCACACACGTTCCTGTCGGGGAGGATCAAGTCCAGCACATGGAACTTGTTCAGGATCTAGCTCGGAGTTTCAACCAGAAGTATGGGGACTTGTTTCCATTGCCCAAGTCCATTCTCAGTAAGTGACAAGTGGGTGGTTATGAAATCTGGGCACACACTGAAGAGTAAGTGGACTGGAGACTTGGAACTTCGCTGGGACTAAATTTGGGGTTCTTAACTGGAATCCTTGTTGTTTGGGATTATGTGGGACTAGGAGATGGTATTGGAGTCTAGAAAAAAAATGATGAGCTGGGCTGTGGCAGCACACGTCTTTAATTCCAGCACTAAGGAGGCAGAGGCAGAGACAGGCGGATCTCTGTGAGTTCCAGGCCAGACTGGTCTACAGAGTGAGTTCCAGGACAGGCTCCAAAGCTACACAGAGAAACCCTGTCTCAAAAAGGAAAAACAAAATTGTAAAATATGGGAGAAACTTTTAAAAAAATCATAATTTTGGTTTCTAAAATATATGTCAATAGATTATATAAAACAAGATTTTATTTGATAGAGCAAATTACATGCCCTATTTTACACATTGGCCAACTAAGGCTCAGCAAAGCTCACTCTGTTCAAGTCACATGTCCAGTTGGTCCCAAAGCCTCACCCTTCCTTAACATTCACAGTCAGACAAATGTCAGGAGAATGAGAAGTGCTCAGTCCTAGTCCAGACAAAATGAGGAAGAAGGGATGATCCCCAAAGGTGGTTTTCTGAGATGAACAGGAGGGATGGGGTAGTGCATCTGAAATGCCAGCCTCGGCTCTGCTAGGGTGTCTCATGCGTTGAAGTCAACCTCCTTTTTAGCAAACAGGATTTCTATTGCTGTTTTACCCACTTCAGTCTCATCTTTAATAGCCATAAACAAAGCAGGTATCAATAACACTGGTGTATGGAACATAGCTTAACACCCCCCTCTGTGTGTGTGTGTGTGTGTGTGTGTGTGTGCGTGTGCGTGTGCGTGTGCGTGTGCGTGTGCGTGTGCATGTGCGTGTGTTTCTATGACTGTGTGTATGTGTGTGTGCATGTGCCTGTAAATATATAATTCTGTGTAGAGATGTGGAAGGATTGTCACAGATGGTTAAATGCAGCATTCCTACAGCAAGGTGGGAAGTGGAGGCAGGAGAATGGCCAGCTAGCCTAGGGGATGCTGCATAGTGGCGGAAAAAAAGAGATAACCTGCCTCAAAACAAAGTGGATGACAAAAAGAGATTACCAGAAGTCACCCCCTGGCCTCAAATTCTCCATGGCACCTATGTATCTGTGCACACATACACACACACACACAAGTTTTTAAAAATATAGATTGTGTTCACAGAGCCATCTTGGCACTCACCGTGCAAGTCTAGTGACCTGGGTTCCATCCCTGGAGCCCACAAGTGTGCACAGCATAGGCAGTATATATAACCAGCATAATTCCGTTTGTGCCAGTTACACACTGGATGAATCACTACCAATACATGATGTGGATATTGCATTATCAAGACCTGTTTCTGGTGTCTTTACTTCCACATTTGATAAACTGCTCAGACTCTCCAAGATGAAGATGTGCCATTTGTGCAGTCAGATAATATCTCTGGTGTTGTTGGTGTCTTCGAGATCTAGACTGTAACATTCTTGATGACTTGTCTTCTTTTCACTAGCATCGATGAAGAAAGTGAAATCCCTCCGTGATCCCTCTGCCAAGATGTCAAAATCGGACCCCGACAAACTGGCAACTGTTGGAATAACAGACAGCCCGGAGGAGATCGTGAAGAAATTCCGCAAGGCTATGACAGACTTCACATCGGAGGTCACCTACGAGCCGGACAGCAGAGCCGGCGTCTCCAACATGGTGGAGATCCATGCCGCGGTGTCGGGTCTCTCTGTGGAGGAGGTGGTGCGCAGGAGCGCAGGCCTGGACACGGCGCGCTACAAGCTGCTGGTGGCGGATGCTGTGATCGAGAAGTTTGCTCCAATCAGGAGAGAAATTGAGAGACTGAAAATGGATAAGGACTATTTAAAGAAGGTTTTACGTGTTGGATCTGCAAAAGCCAAAGAATTAGCCTATCCTGTGTTTGAGGAGGTGAAGAAATTGGTGGGGATTCTGTAGGAAAGCCAGCCAGTCACCTGCACTCCAGTCAAGACAACTTTCCTCTGGCAGATTTCAGTCTGCACATATTTGGTTTGATGCGTGCTTCCAGTCGATGTTCCAATTTCCATCAGCAAATACTGTTATCAGGAGAGCTGAAACAGGCACAGCTCTCTGCACCCTGGTTAACTGAGGCACCGTTTTTGGGTCTTAAGTATTCCCACATACTTGACAGCTAAACAATAACTGAGCTATGATGTGTCGCTGAAGTTTTTTCCAGTCCTGCCCAGCCCCACAGACCCCACAAGCCACTTATAAAATAATCACTCAGAAGCTTATATTAATTAAAACTGCTTGGCCATTAGCTCAGGCCTACCACTGACTAGCTCTTACATTTAAACTAACCCATTTCTGTTCATCTATATGTCGCCACGTTTTTTGTGGCTTTACCTGTGTGCCATTACATGCTGCTCCCTGGATGGCAAGCTGGCATCTCCTGACTCAGCCTTCCAGCCTTCCCACAATTCTCCTTGTCTGTTTATCCCACCTATACTTCCTGCCTGACTACTGGCCAATCAGCATTTTATTTATCAATCAATCAGAGCAACACATTTACAACATATAGAGCAATATCCATAGCAATGGTGTGTGCTTATTTGTGCCGTCTTTACTGTGACAGGTGCACTTTGTCTATCTCTAAACCCTTTTTAAAGCTGCACATAGAGGTCCTCTGCTGTAATCATGAATCTGGTAGTTTTGGGAGTTCTTCAAAACAGGTTGATTCTTACAGTTTATGTGTCACTGAGATGATGTTTGTCCTCAAGTATTTGAGCGACTTAACTTGGGCCAGCAAGGTGGCTCAGGCTCAAGGCACCTGCTGCCAAGTCTGACAGCCTGAGTTCATCCTCAAGACCAGTGTGGTGGAAAGAGAGAATTGACCGGCAAGTTGTCCTCTGACCTCCATTTGTACACCTTGGTACACACACACACACACACACACACACACACACACACAC